GTCTTTGGTTCATATGGAAGCCTACCTTGGTCAAGACGTTGGCGGAGCAGCGGTGAGCAGCGACAGCTGGAGGCATGTAGCGGCAACCGGCCAGCGGCAAATAGCGGCACACGCCCCGCGCCAACCGTTCATCAATCCCCCCCCGCTCGCCGCTAAACACGAACAAAACCACTCTCGGTGTAATTCAAAGCTTCCAGAAACATCACACGCAAATCGTCATCGTCATTGTCATCGTTGCCGTCATGGTCATTGTCGTCATCATCGCCATCGTCATCGTCATCGTCGTCATCGTCATCGTCATCGCCATCATCATCTGGGGGAGGATGGGACGCAGATGGACATATTCGGAGTCCTCGGAAGGCCGGAGGCCTAAGCCTCGGAGTCATGGGTCGCCCCCGGCTCGGTGTCTCAAGGGGACGGTCGTCGGTCGTCGGGAGGTGGCAGATCGGTCGTCGGTCATCGGCCAGTCCGTCGTCGCAGTGGTCGTTTTCCTCGTCGTCCTCCTCCTCGTCCTCCTTCTCGCTCCTTGCTCCTCGCTCCTCCCTTCTCGAAGCTCTGTGCGCGAGCGGCCAGCCATTTCATTCGTGACCTAGGCTCACCTTTGAGCAGCAGCCTTATGCGTGTTGGCCTGCCCAGGCTGAACGCGCATGGGCATGGTTCCGGTCGTCTATGAGTTCGTGTCCACGATCATGGGCGTGTGCACCACCGTCGCGGCGCTGTGCGACTTCATGATTCTGGCGCTGCCGTCGACCGTTGAGGATTCGGGCGCGAGAGGATACGCCTGAGCGAATGAGTACCCCGACGAGAGCGAGTGCGTCTACGCGCGCATATGTCCAGGCAAGCGGTCGTCTGCAGCACCGCGTTTGCGCAAAACACACACCAGGCCTCTGGGTGTAAGTGGTCAAAGGATATGTGTCTTGCCTCCTCCAAGGCCCTTCTTCCTTTCGGGGGAGGGGTACTCTGTTGCTTTCAGGGGGGGTCTGCGATGTGTCAGGGGCTCGCCATCGCTCGGACGTCCATTCCCTGTGCTTGTTTCGGTTTCGTGCGTGGTTTTTTCGCCAAATCATCAATGATGCTCCTCGATGGTCCTCGCCGAAGGAAAAATGCACACGTCCGAGCGATGCCAAGACTACGACCGACCTGCCCGCTCAACTCGCCGCGCTGCCGTCGGCGCCGCGAGGACAGCGTGTTCGCGACGACAAGACTCCGCAGCATCACGGACGCACCGGTCCAGTCGCCAGGTGCCAGCAGAATGTTCGCGCGGTAGCCATCGCCCAGCGCAGGATAAGCCGCCTACCCGCCGGACGCACAATTCCATCCATGCGAAGGGGACGGAAGGAACATGATGCTACTGGTTCATCGAGCGCCTCAGATGCCAACCCGCTGATCGCGGGCACGTCGAGCTCCGCGCCCCCGCCGAACGCTGGTCCTGAAAGCGAACGCGCAGCATCCGTTCAGCTGCTGGAGGCACGGCTTCCTGGGCCAGCCTGACGGCGCGAGGCCCTGCAAACGACCCGAGCGACGCACCCTGCGCGAGCGCAGCTGACGACGAAAACCGGCGTCATGCATGAAGACAGGCCCACGACTCTCCAGAAAAAAAACTCCTAGGTCGGGCGTGTCCTCCTACACGCGGATCTTGGACGGCAAATAACAATAAAAAGTGCAACAAGCATCCGAAGTAGTGGAAAAAACGTTCCCAGACTATCTTTTTGCATTTTTGAGAAAATTCCTCCTCTTGGACATGCCCGACTTCATCCTGGTCCCAACCCAACTTTCTCATCGGCAGCGCCAGCGGTCGCAAAAAAGCGCGGGTGCCGTTCCCAGCGGGCCGATCCACCCAGCCAGTGAGCCGCGGCAGGGCCCCCTCCCCCAAAACTAGAAAAACGCTGCTGGGGGTGGGAGGACCTACTGGCTGAGGCTCAGGCTCGGGCCGGGCCTTCATCTCCCTCGGGAGTCGTCCAGCTTCCAGCGCTCTGAGAACTTTTTTCCCCCGTGCTCTGGGACCTTCTCGAGACCAGGCTTGGAGAGAGGCTGTTGCAGCATAGCTTCCGCAACCACGGCCCCTCCTGCTCCTCCTCCTCCTCCTCCTCCTCCTCCTCCTCCTCCTCCTCCTCCTCCTCCTCCTCCCTCCTCCTCCTCCTCATCATCATCATCATCATCATCATCATCATCATCATCATCATCATCATCATCGATCCTCTTCCTTCTCCTCCTCCTCCTCCTCCTCCTCCTCCTCCTCCTCCTCATCGATCCTCCTCCTCCTCCTCGAAGGGAAGGAACCCGACCGCCGAGACTCGGCGGGAGAGGGAACCACAGGCGGCCTGAGGCACCGAACCCCGGTGCTTGGCAGGAGGAGCCTGGGCCCAAAGCCGACGCGACCTGCACCCGTGCACGCGCGGGAGCTGCCAGGAGGGCCACGGCTCCGCCGGGTGCGCCAGGCGCCGCACCCCCGGGGGGAGGAGGAGGGGGAGGAGGAAGAGGAGGAGGGAGGAGGAGGAGGAGGAGGTGGAGGAGGAGATGGAGGAAGAGGAGGAGGGAGGAGGAGGAGGAGGAGGAGGAGGAGGAGGAGGAGGAGGAGGAGGAGGAGGAGGCCCTGTTGTGTTGAACGCCGTCCCTTGAGCCTGACACTGGCTGCCGGGGGGGAGGGGCGACGCCCGTCGCTGGCCGCCGCGCATGGCCGCCGCCAGCGCATCGCAGAGCCACACGGGCACTTCGGAGGGGACTCGGCTGCGGGCCAGCGTGACGCACGGGACCGCGGGCATCATCGAGGCTCCCGGCACCCTTCGCTCCCACAGCAGGTCGGCTAGGCAGCACCCTGTGCAGTGCGAGCGTCGATGCCGTGACGATGGGAATTCTGTCAAAGGCGTCCAGGCGTCCTTGCTTCTTCCGTGCCGAGGCTACCAGGACATTCAAGCTCGTCTGCCGCGAGCGCTGAGTCTGGGAACAACATCCCTCGGGGAAAATAGCTTGGGGAACCGGTCACCTGGCAGCGACGACGGACCAGCGAAGTCGGACATACCATCGAACTGGTCTGTCGAAGACGTTCTCTTGCCCTTCGCCGACAGGCTTCAGGGTGCGCGGATGCCCTCCCCTATCACGCGATCCTCTGCTGTCTGCCCAGCAGCGCCTTGTCGAGCAATTCCATTGCCGCCCATGGCGCCCACATGCAAGAGCGACGTGCAGCGCCCAAGGAGCTCACTCGCCATCTTGTGCAACCACTTCGGCAACGTAGAGGCGTGGTTGTGGCGGGTATCTAACACTGCGCCCGTGGACATCAATCTTGGCTGTCCCACGCGGTTCCAAGCCCAGGGGCGCTCTCCCACGCCTGGGGCGGAATGGCCCATAATGACCCGCCAGACAACCGAAAACGGGTGCTGGTTGCCCACCGCAACAGTGGAGCCACAGCTCCTATTCGTGCGTTAGGAGGCAAATACAGGGAGGTCTTCGTCGGAAAGATTAAGGAGGATGAAGCCCCATTGGGGGGCGGTTGCGCCAAATTGAACCTCGGATACAGCGGGATTAAGCGGGATTGAGCCAGCTTCAACGGGATAAGGCCGGACGGCGCGGGAATGAGCCGGATCAAGCGGCATTGAGCCGGAGTTCGGACCAGGATGAGATCAGAACCTGACCTCCCAAGAGCTGCATCCGAGCGCGTGGTCCTGGAGCGGTTGCCGCCTCTGGCGCCGCCCGACCTTGAGAACGCTCGACCGCGGAGGGACCACCGCGCACCGACGTGTGGGTGTGGCCCGCGCGCCTGCCAACGATCAGATGCTCGCCGCGCACTTAAGCCCCGCGGGTCGGGGACACCATGCCGCGTGAAGGCTCCAGCCGCGCACAACCGTCAGGCCCTCAGCCGCAGATGTTAGGAAGCAACCATATAGGGAGGTCTTCGTCGGAAGAATTAAAGAAGATTAAGCCCGGAGTGGGCCTCGGATGAAGCAGGATTAAGCCGGAGTAAACGGGAATAAGCGGGATTAAGCGGGACTAAGCGGGATTAAGCCGGATTGAACCGGATTTCGGACCAGGGCAAAATCAGAGTTTGACCTCCCAGGAGCGGCCACTGTCAATCTGCGCAAGTCGCGAAGCCAGCCGATGTTCGTTTCAGATCGAGCCCAGGTGGCGGCCCGAGGAGGAGCGCGGAAAAGGAGGACCACAAGTATGAGGATGAGGCAGTTATACCGGGGATCTTCTGACTCAGGTCAATCCAGACCCGGGTCAGTCTAGCCTTGCAGAATCCTGCAAGATCCTGCACCCAAACCCGGGTCAATGCGAGGGGTCCTCAAAATCCTGCAGGATCCTACACCCAAGCCCGGGTCAATGCGACCCTGGCCCTGCAGGATCCTGCAAGATCTGGCGCCCTGGCTGACCCCCGTTTGCATTGACCCCCGTCTCAAGACTCCCGATTATAGCCACGCTCGCGTTGTAGCTCTGAGCCACCGGAATTGAAAATACAACTCCCTCTTTTCACCAGTGGGGTGAAAATGCATGGAAGCACGATTGAACAGAATACGAGAGGGAGCCTGCGGAAGCCACGATGAACTGGAAGAGGTGATGGCACAAGAGAGTGCGGCATGGAGAATCGGAAACCGGGCAAGGGCTGCTAAATCCGTGGCTGCTAAAATCGACATCCAGGAAATTGTCTTCGTCCTTCCGGGAAGAAGCCCGTTGACTGTTTCGCGTGCCGCGCCTCATTCCGGGAAGCTGTTTTTTCCTTCCGGGAGGGCCGTTTTAGCAGCCACGGTTTTAGCAGCCCTCGCCCAGCTTCCGAGAGAAGAAGGAGCGCGAATCCTTCGTTGTGCTTGACGCTGCATGCAAACCTTCGTTGAACGAAGGATTGCGAAATCCTTCGGTTTTTTCGCAATCCTTCGGTTTTTTCGCAATCCTTCGGTTTTTTCGCAATCCTTAATCCGAGTTTTTTCGCAATCCTTCGGTTTTTTCGCAATCCTTCGTTTTTTCGCAATCCTTCGTTGTGCTTGACGCTGCATGCAAACGATCAGGCCTCATGATCTCGCTGAGGTCATAGACCGCCTCGTCCATGCCACCCTCGCCAGCCAGGACCGGCACCTGGAGTCCGGCGGGGGAGCCATCAAGGGGGCCTCATCCCGCAAGGGCTCTCAAGCACACATTGTCTGTTTTTTTTCCCAGCACGCGCGTGTTACCAGACCCCTGGATCTCTATCACTCTCATTCTCTCTCTCTCTCTCTCTCTCTCTCTCTATATATATATATATATATATATATCGCTCGCTCTCTCTCTCTCTCTATCAACCTCTTTCTCTCGCTCGCTCGCTCTATCTCTATATATATGTACTAGAACCACGCGCGCGCTTCGCGCGCGCTTCGGTTCTAGCTAGGAGGCGAGCTTGAGTCAACGAAAGTCGCAGGGAAGGGGGCAGGGGGAAGAAGGCCAGAGAGCGCTGAAGGATACAAATACTGGAACCCTCTTGTGATTTTGTGGGGGGCCTCGTCCGGCCGCTCGCTGGGAGTTTGACGTAGCTTCTCGGGAGCCTCTGAACCTGTCGGGGGCCTCCTGGAAGCAGGTTCGAAGCATTTTGGGGGCCGATTTGGGGCTTCTCGGGGCCTCCTTTGGGCCTCTTGGGGGTCTCCTGGGGCCTCTTGAGGGGCCTCCTTGGGGCCTCCTGGCGGCCTCTTGGGGCGGAAGGCTCGAGCTTGCGGTTCGTGGTCCCCCTCTGGGCCCCCTCTTGGGCCCGTCTTGGGGCCCTCTTGGGCCATCTTGGGCGCCTCTTGGGCCGTCTTGGGGCCCTCTTGGGCTGTCCTGGGGCCCTCTTGGAAGCTTCTTGGGCCGTCTTGGGGCGGTCTTGGAGGCCTCTTGGGCCGTCTTGGACGCGGTGAAAGCCCAAGATGCGAACATGCGAAAAATATACGTTTTCCCATAGGAATGGCACGATTTTGTTTCTTGGACCTCTCTTGGGGTGCCTCTCGGAACGTCTTGGGCTGATTTTGGAAGCCTTTTGGCGCCTCTGGGCGGCGTTTTGGCGCCTCCTGGGATATGTTGGGCCGGAAGCTCGGAATTCGAGAGTGGCTTTCTCCTTCTGGGACCCCTCTCGAAGTCGTCTTGGGGTTCTCTTGGGCCGTCTTGGGGCCGTCCTGAGCCACTCGTGCGCAGCCTTGGAGCGCTCCCGGAGGCCTCCTAGGCCGTCTTGGAGGCCTCTTGGGCCGTCTTGGACGCGGTGAAAGCCCAAGATGCGAGCATGCGAAAAATATACGTTTTCCCAAAGGAATGGCACGATTTTTGTTTCTCGGACCTCTCTTGGGGTGCCTCTCGGAACGTCTTGGGGTGCTTTTGGGAGCCTTTTTGGCGCCTCTTGGCGGCATTTTGGCGCCTCCTGGAGCCTCTTGGGCCGGAAGCTCGGAATTCGAGGGTGGCTTTCTCCGTCTGGGACCCCTCTCGAACTCGTCTTGGGGCTCTCTTCGGCCGTCTTGGGGCCTAGCGCGAACGTCGTCGCAAACGATAGTTTTTTACGTGCCTCACCTGGAGCTGGGGCGTGGGCTGCTGCGTCTTCTGCTGCAAGCCCGCCGCTGTTCGATGAATCAAGCGGGATGCCCGGGCGACGCTCTTGATCCTGCCTAGTCCCACGGCCTCTCCCTGCATCGCCGCCACGGGGAAATAGCAGTCCCTCTCGTCATCGGCACCCTCGTCATCATGGAAGATGTCCGCCACCGCGCTTGCAGCAGTTGGTGTGTGTGTGTGTGTTTATGTGTGTGTGTGTGTTTGTGTGTGTGTGTTTTTGTGTGTATGTGTTTTTGTGTGTGTATGTGTTTTTGTGTGTGTGTGTTGTGTGTGTGTGTGTTTTTGTGTGTGTGTGTGGTGTGTGTGTGTGTGGTGTGTGCGTTCGCTGCCCGCCGCCCCCCGCCCCTGCTCCGTGAGGGGCCGGCGTCCTCTCCCCTTTTCCCCTGCTGGCTCCCAGGGCGCCCCTGGGCCTGGCATGTGGCCCGGCGTGAGTCCGCTGCGCCGGCGCGCGACCTGGAACGGCAGAGTGGCTCCTCGCCCCGCCCGCGTGCGACCGAAACGAGAACATGCAGGGGAAGGCGGGCGGGATGGACGGAGGCGGGAGGAGGGAGGAGGAGGAGGAGGAGGAGGAGGAGGAGGAGGAGGAGGAGGAGGAGGAGGAGGAGGAGGAGGAGCGAGGAGTGTGTGTACGTGTGTGCGCGTGCGTCGGGCTGGCCGCGCCCTGTGCGTTCCCTCTGGCCCGCTGGCGGTGTCAGGCCGCGGCCGCCGCACCAGCTTCTTTCGCCGCTCCCGCACGCCCGGCTCCGCCGCGTTTGCTGCGCGCGTGGCGGCCGAAACGCGAAAAAGCGTGCATGTCTGTGTGCGCGCGCGTGTGTGTACAGGCCTCCTACATGGGGTCGGGTAGATGGGAGGATCGCGCCGCATCGGGCGACGTCTGCGATGCGGCGACGCCGGCGACGTTGGCGACGTTGGCGACGTCAGCGTGGGGAGCATCGGGCTCCACATCGAGCCGCATCGCCGATGCATCGGCGATGCGGAGCGATCCTCCGACCCCATCTACTCCGACCCCATCTAGGAGGCCTAGAGTATGGGCACGCGCACGCGCGTGTGTGTGCGCGCGCGGGTGTGTGTGTGTGTGTGTATGTGTGTGTGGTGTGTGTGTGCGTGGGTGTGTATGTGGGTGTGTGTGAGCGCGCGCGTGTGTGCTAGATAATCGTGGGCGTTGCTTCTTGCGTGCAGCGGCAATTTGCTTCAGGCCATGTCGGCGCGTTTTGCTTTGCCCCCCGCAACAAAGCACATGCGCCCAAATCAGAACTCCGTGCGACGGGGTTCCATAGTCCATAGAATAGCGGCCAGGAGCCACAGAGGTCGATAGCCAAAGGAGCAGGCGTTGCTCGAATCCTCTGGGGAGCCTCGTCGAAGAGAGGGGCATGTTTTTTCCAAGGTTGATCGTTGCGCACTTTTTTTTTTCCAGTAGATATCGATGTACTTGTGTGTGCGCGGATCTCTTCGTACAGTGCTCTGGCAAAATTCTTCAATCCATGGTTTGTACTGGGCCAGTACTGTCCTGCTGTGAGGTATGTGGCAACCGTGGAACCGCAGTGTACTGCGAAATGGTCCATGGCCTGTGTGTTGCATGATCATCGCCATTGCCGATATGCTTGAAGGCCTGGAAATGGGCACCATCACCAACGCAGGGGTTTTGCCTCCACACGGGGAAGATGGTCCAAGATTTCGGTGTTGGTGGCAATAGTTCGGCCGCCTTGGAAGCCAGAATCTTTACCACCATCACCGAGATCGGGATCTTCTTCTCGCGGTGGAGGCACGCCGCCGATACTGGTGCTGGTGTCACCCTCGAGGCCTGCGATATGCTACCGCCGAGTTGGGCTGACATGATTGAAGTGATCTGGGGGCGACTGGATCACCCTGGGTACTTGCCGTGGCCCCCCCCCCCCCGGCCACGCGCCCCTCGCTGCAGCCGCCGAACGTCCCACCTCCTCCCTCTCCGGGCGCCCCCGGGCCCGCGCCGGTCCTAGGAGGGACCCCGAACGGGAAGACGGGAGCGGAGGGACGTGAGCGATGCTGGAGAAGCAGAGCGGAGGTGAGGGAACGGAAGGCGGAATACACTCGACCAAGGATGCGCGGTGAGGGTGCAGAGGCCTTGGACCGCCATGCTGACGTCTTGCGTGCGGAGCGCAGCAGAATGCCGAAGGGTGCCGGAGACCGAAGGGGCAAGGATGCAAGGGTAGCCCGGATTCCATAATAAAGTAAGGGGGGGTCACATTTGGGGGGGGGTCTGATTTGAGCTGTCTTGGAGGGTTCGGGGGGGTCTGGGCAAAGGGCCGCCCTTTCATGGATGGTCTGGGGGGGTCTAAAACTTCTCGTCTGGGAGGAGCTCAGAGTTGAAAGAGAGAAGGCATTTCTGGAAAAATTGAACATTGATTTTTTTCATGTCGGAATGAAGTTGGTTCCCCCAAGTGTTTCGGTAGTGAAAGTGCGCCTAGACAGCTCATATTAAGACGCAGAGGCCCTCATAACTTTGTGACCCCCTCCCTTTTATTACGAAATCTGGAGTAGCCTTGGAAAGTTGCCCCTTCCTGCCTATCATGGTTGACCGCACGGAGAGCGCGCAGCGGGCAGGAGAGGGAGGGGGGGGGGGAAGCGGCGAGAGGAGCGGAGGGGGGGCCACGGCGGCGGGCTCCCGCGGCGGCGGGGCCGCATACGCGAAGCACCCGAACGGCGGAGCCGTCCACGCGGCCTCCGCGAGCACCTCTAAAGGGAAATTAGGACACACAAATAAATACACACAAATAAAAATAGTCCCCATATTTTCCCACATCTTCTGGGTTTCTGTCTTCCCCCCCACTTCCCATATTCTCCCATATCTTCCGGGGAATCGAGGATTCATTGTGTCTGTGTGTTTCTCTCCCTCCTGAACCTCCTTGGGCCCGATCCAGGCGTACTTCCGCGCCCCCTTCCGCATCATGAAGGGCGCCGTCACCGGCTGCCAGCGGCCCCGGAGCGCCGCGCAGGCCCCAAGGCCGAGCCCCTCGCGCGCCCCGAAGCTCAGGCCGCTGCCCAGCGACAGGCACATCACGGCCACCACCTCCCGGGCCGCGTCCACGTACACGAAGCCGCCGAAGACGAAGAAGGCCGCCGCCGGCGTGGTGATGGAGAAGTAGGCGCGGGCCTGGTCGACGAAGGTGCCGAGCTCCACCGAGTAGGCCCACGCAAAGTGGGTCGCGTTCCTGGGGACGCCCATCGCCTCCAGGCTCTCGGGGCTGAGCGTCAGCTTGTGGATCCCTGAGATGCTGCCTGACGGCTCGACGTTGTTGGCTCGCAAAGCCCCCACGTCCACCGCGGGCGAATCTTGAGTGGCCGCGTACGTCTGCGTCTTCCAGTTCAAGGTCAGCTTCAGGTCCGATGCTGGGATGAGGGCGAAGGGGCCCAAGTGTTCAGGGAAGACCTTGCCGATCATCTCGTGGCGCAGGAGCGACGGCAACTCTGCAGAGAAGCTTCGTGGGAGCACCGCCGAGCTTGGCCTGACGACGACCTTGCTGCTGCGGAGCTTGCCAGCCATTTCCTTCAAGTCTGTTAGGAAGCCGCTGCCCACCTGGCCGATGCCAGGCAGGTAGGCGGCCCGCGCGGCGTCCAGGAGCAGAGAGACCTCCGAGACGCTGGGGAGGCACTGCAGAGCATTCAGACAGGTGTCGAGAACGCAGAAGTCCATGGCGAGGCCACAAGCGAAGACGCGCTTCGTGCCCTGTGCTTTGAGCATCTCGGCCAGGTCCACTCTGGCATGGGCCGCCAGCACATCCGGAGGGGCATTTATATCGTTGTCATGATTCGAGCACTTGAGCGACACGCATCCGGTCCAGGAGCACAGCGAACAGCCGTAGAGACGGTCGGGCCTCTCGTTGAAGTTGAGACGCTGCCAGGTGTGGCTCTGCTCGGGGTACTTGAAAGAACCGAAGGAGTCGATGTCCTCGTGGAAGCCTTTGAACACCACCTCTGCACGGCGCCCGACGGTCTTCAGATCGGCCATGCAGGCTGCAATGTCGGGATAGAAGTGCGAGCCCTCCGTGCCTCGGGGGGGGGGCAAGCGACACACACGAGCAGGAGCGATCGGAGATCCGCGCGGACCTCTGAGAGCTCACGCTCGTGCGCGTGCTCGCCCGTCGAGCCTTGCACGCAGTGCGCCGGGAAGTGGCCGCCCTCCGAGATGAAGGAGCAGTGGTCCCTCGGGTGGTAGTCCCTCGTGGCCACCACGAGGGCACCGCTCGCTGCGAAGTGCTCCATCAGCCTGACCACCATGGGGACTATGACCTCGCCCTCCGCGACGGCGAAAGCGCCCCCCCTCGGATTCTTCACGTCGTCGGCGGGGATGAAGTCGTTCTGCATGTCAACGACCACCAGGCAGTCCTCCGCTCCCACTGTCAAGGCGGCCTCGCTGACGAGGTCCTGCCAGCCGGAGTCCCTCGCCAGCCTGAGGTACTCGGTGAACTTCGGGGAGTCGCGGCAGTGCATCCCCCATCCCTCGCTGCTCATGGGCAGATGCTCCTCGGTCGCGCCCTCCTTTAGGCTCGAGTCTTTGTGCGCACCTCCATCACTCTGAGCAAAGTGGCGTTGGGTTGCACGCATGAGACACTGCAGCACGCGGGATGGACAGAGAGGGAGGAGCGTGAGGAGGGGGAAACCACTTTGTTTCCCCTCGCTTCACAGGGTGATCGCATGAAAACGAATCGAACGAGCCGCAACCTGCCTCCACCAAAGCGTTGTCGATGCCGACGCGGCTCAGCCGAACACTGATCCCAGAGGGAGAGAGAAGGAGAGCGGGAGTGTGAGGGAGGAGGGAAAGACGTGGACGGGAGCGAGAGGCGACGACACTGCCTTGGCTCTCGTGGGGCTCGGAAAGGAGGAGGGAGGAGGCGGGAAGGCGGGCATGCAGGCCGGGCGGGGAGGGAGGAGGGAGGAGGAGGTGAGGGCCATGACACACATCCAGCGCGCACTGGTGATGGCGGCGGGTGCAGTGCGGCGTTCGGTCCCGCAGCGATGCCACTCTCGGGCGCGGTCCACGGACTCAGCGAGGAGCGGGGATGACCGAAGGACGAGGAGGAGGCGAGGTTGAGAACGGGGCAGACCGAGACTGAAGAGGCCCTGGGACACACAAATAAATACACACAAATAACAGGATTCCTCATATTTTCATCTATTTTCTGGGCTTTCGTCTTCCCCCCCAATTCCCATATTTTTCCACATTTTCCTGGGAATCGACGATTGATTGTGTCTGTGTGTTTTTTCCCTTCCTGAGAGACTCCCGTCGCCACGATCGCTTCACTCTGCGGCGCGGCGAGGGGGGGGGGAGCCACAGAGGGCCGGCCCTCGAAGCAGGCGGCGGGGCTTCTCGGAAACCCTCCGTCCTTCCAGGCATCCTGCGCATGGGGGGCCACATGCGAACCCTACCCCTACCCACCACGATTTCTGAGGGGGAGGGTGGGGTTCACTGCGTTCGGGACCTCCCGAGCGAAGTGAACCCCACCCTCCCCCCAAAAGTCGTGGGGGGTAGGGGTAGGGTTCGCATGTGGCCCCCTATCGCAGCCTTCTCACAAGGCTTCTCACATGGCGGCGAGCCCTTCGAGGAGGGACGCAAGGACGGGATTGGCGCAGGGCAGGGTGACCCTTACCCGCAAGCGGCGATGCATCGCCGCTGGGCCGCCGACGGCAGAAGCGCGCGCTACTGCACGGGTTGGGGCGCCCAGGCTCGATCCTTGAGGCATGGCCGATTGGGGGTCGGGTGTCCCAAGCCCGCCCTGGGCCAGCTCCCCCTGCTGGCGAACGAACGAACGAACTGCCATACGCCGGAGCGCGTGGGCAAAAGACAATGCCAGCCTGAACTCGCCGCTTTGCGGGAGCGACTGCACGTCGGCTGTCTCATAATGCACAGCGTGCGCGATTGGAGGAGGAGCAACAGCAGCAGCAGCAGCAGCAGGAGGGGAGGGAGGAGGAGCGAGAAAGGAGGGACGGCATAGACCAGAACAAAAACAAAAAAACGACACGACACCGCCCCACCCACGGCCCCAGGGGGCTTACACCGGACTCACTTCTATAGCGCTCACTTCTATAGTGCTCACTTTGAAATTGTGGTCCGGAAGGGGCCGCACATGCAGGCACATGCCGCACAGTCGCATGCACATGCCCATGCAAATATACAAAAGCCTCAACAGCATTGCCGCACATGCGCGCACATGCCACACCGTCCGACGCACAGTCGAATGCACGGTCAAGCAAAACTCTGAAAGCATAGACGCACATGCCCGCACATGCCGCAGAGATGTCGCAGGCGATAGTGGCCTGACCACCTGAGCTCGGGGCATTTCGCAACCCAGAGTTCCGAGGATGTCTCAGGCAAGCGTGGCCGGATCACCATGGGGCAGGGCATCTTGGAAACCAGAGTGGCGAGGATGTCGCTGGTCAAGGTGACCAGACGACCATGGGGCAGGACACCTCCGAGGTCTGAGTTGTGAGGATGTCTCAAGCGAAAGTGGCCTGACCACCATGGGGCAGGAGATCTCTGAGGTCAGAGTTGCGAGGATGTCTCTGGGGAGAGTGGTCTGACCACCTCAGCCCAGGGCATCTCGGAGCCCAGAGTTGCGAGGATGTCTCAGGCAGGACTGGCCTGACCACCTGCTCAGGGCATCTCAGAACCCAGAGTTGCGAGGGTCTCAGGCGAAAAAGGCCGAGACACTATGGAGCAGGGCATCATTGAGGTCAGAGTTGCGAGGATGTCTCAGGCAAAAGTGGCCTGAACAGCTCAACTCAGGGCATCTCGGGCGAGGATGTCTAAAGCGAAAGTGGTCTAACCACCTCAGCTCAGGGCGTCTCGGAACCCAGAGTTCCGAGGATGTCTCAGGCGAAAGGGGCCGAGACACTATCGAGCAGGGCATCATTGAAATCAGGGTTGCGAGGATGTCTCAGGCGACAGTGGCTGACCACCTCAGCTCGGGGCATATCGGAATCGAGACTTGCGAGGATGTCTCAGGCGACCGTGGCCTGACCAGCATGGGGCAGGAGACCTCTGAGGTCAGAGTTGCGAGGATGTCTCAGGCGAAAGTGGTCTAACCACCTCAGCTCAGGGCGTCTCGAAACCCAGAGTCCCGAGGATGTCTCAAGCGAAAGTGGCCGGGCCACCATGGGGCAGGGCATCTCCGAGACCAGAGTTGCGAGGATGTCTCAAGCGAAGGTGGCCAGATCACTTCATGTCAAAGCACGTCGGCCTCCAAATTGCCGACGACGTCTCACGCGGAACTGGCCGGACGCGAACGCGCCGGCGTCCGGAGACGAACGCCGGCCCCGGCATTCTTGCACGTCCCGCACATGCACTGCACAGGTACGCACAGTATTCGCACAGGCCGAGCTCGCCGGTGGCCGAGCCAGGCCAGCGATTCCGAAATTCCCTGAGCTCGGGCCGTCAAGCCACTTTCGCCTGAGACATCCTCGCAACTCTCACCTCCTCCTCCTCCTCCTCCTCCTCCTCTTCCTCCTCGTCCTCCTCCTCCTCCTCCTCCTCCTCCTCCTCCTCCTCCTCCTCCTCCTCTGGCCGAGCCGAACAGGCAAGCGGGCCAGTGGCCGGGGGCCCCCGCCTCCTCCGCCCCCCCCTCCTCCCCCCCCCTCCACCTCCCCCCCCCCCCATCCCTGCTTCTCCGGCCGAGCTGAGAAGGCGCGCGGGAGAGTATTTTATTAGGCGGGCGCGCCACCGCCAGCTCACGAACCGGGCGAATAACCGCCCCCGCCAGCAGCGGGCGAGTCTAAACGCATAACAAACTGTTTCAGGAAGCCCTGGCACGCCCCAACTTAGCTCTGCGAAGGCCAGGAGGCATTGGAGGCACAGGGGTCCCAGACAGCTCCTAGGGCATGAGCGTGCATGTGCGTCTGGGGTCTCCTGGGGCCTCTTGAGGGGCCTCCTTGGGGCCTCCTGGCGGCCTCTTGGGGCGGAAGGCTCGAGCTTGCGGTTCGTGGTCCCCCTCTGGGCCCCCTCTTGGGCCCGTCTTGGGGCCCTCTTGGGCCATCTTGGGCGCCTCTTGGGCCGTCTTGGGGCCCTCTTGGGCTGTCCTGGGGCCCTCTTGGAAGCTTCTTGGGCCGTCTTGGGGCGGTCTTGGGCGCCTCTTGGGCCGTCCTGTAACGTCGGAAAGCCCAAAAGGCGACTTTGTTGAAAATGTACGTTTTACGAAGGGAATGGGCCAATTTTTGCGTCTAGGGGCCCTCTTGGGACGCATGTTGGAGGCTTCTTGGGGCCTCTTGGGGGCGTCCTTGGACGTCTGGGGTCTCCTGGGGCCTCTTGAGGGGCCTCCTGGGGGCCTCCTGGCGGCCTCTTGGGGCGGAAGGCTCGAGCTTGCGGTTCGTGGTCCCCCTCTGGGCCCCCTCTTGGGCCCGTCTTGGGGCCCTCTTGGGCCATCTTGGGCGCCTCTTGGGCCGTCTTGGGGCCCTCTTGGGCTGTCCTGGGGCCCTCTGGGAAGCTTCTTGGGCCGTCTTGGGGCGGTCTTGGGCGCCTCTTGGGCCGTCCTGTAACGTCGGAAAGCCCAAAAGGCGACTTTGTTGAAAATGTACGTTTTACGAAGGGAATGGGCCAATTTTGCGTCTAGGGGCCCTCTTGGGACGCATGTTGGAGGCTTCTTGGGGCCTCTTGGGGGCGTCCTTGGACGTCTGGGGTCTCCTGGGGCCTCTTGAGGGGCCTCCTGGGGGCCTCCTGGCGGCCTCTTGGGGCGGAAGGCTCGAGCTTGCGGTTCGTGGTCCCCCTCTGGGCCCCCTCTTGGGCCCGTCTTGGGGCCCTCTTGGGCCATCTTGGGCGCCTCTTGGGCCGTCTTGGGGCCCTCTTGGGCTGTCCTGGGGCCCTCTGGGAAGCTTCTTGGGCCGTCTTGGGGCGGTCTTGGGCGCCTCTTGGGCCGTCCTGTAACGTCGGAAAGCCCAAAAGACAACTTTGTTGAAAATGTACGTTTTACGAAGGGAATGGGCCAATTTTTGCGTCTAGGGGCCCTCTTGGGACGCATGTTGGAGGCTTCTTGGGGCCTCTTGGGGGCGTCCTTGGACGTCTGGAGGCCATCTTCAGCATCTCGGAGCCCTCTTGGAGGCCTCTTGGAAGTTTCTTGGGCCGTCTTGGGCGCTTCTGGGGCCGTCTTGTCTGACCGGGGAGGCCTCCGGCAAGCCCTGACGAGCCTCCGGGCCCCCCGGGGTGCACATTTGCGGTCGGGGTCCCGGCCCCGGGCCCCCGGACCCGGTGCGCCGTTATATGTATATATATATATATATATATATATATATGTTTCCCTCGCCCTCCCTCTCTCCCTCTCTGTCTCTCTTGTTCTCTCTTGTTCTCTCTCTCCTTCTCTCTCTTTCTCTCCCTCCCTCCCTCTCACTCACTACACGTTCAAATTTCTGTATACAAGTGTGCGTGTTTATCAATAACTCCCTCTCTCTCTCGTTCCGTCTCTGTCTCATTCATTAACTCATATTCTGTCTCAGTCTCTCTCTCT